GTTATTATTGTTATTATTGTTATTATTGTTATTATTGTTATTATTGTTATTATTGTTATTATTGTTATTATTGTTATTATTGTTATTATTGTTATTATTGTTATTATTGTCATTATTGTTATTTTTGTTATTATTGTTATTATTGTTATTATTGTTATTATTGTTATTATTGTTATTATTATTATAACTTCTGTCTATCTCAAGGCTAAAATGGCAGAAGAGAAGATAACTCTAGTTGTCCGGGATGCAATGGTGGACTGTAGGAGGGATCAACTCTGGTTAAGGTTGAGTACAAACTCTCCTCCTCTCTCATTCTCAGAGTTCGTTCATCTCACTACTCTGGTTCATAGTGAAACTTTAGACGAGGTATACAATACTCAGATCAGGACAAGAGTTGTAGTCCTTGTTTTTGTTTGGTACCTTTTATTCATAATATTTCGGGGACTTTTAGGAATTTCAAGTCTTCTAATATTTAGTCCCCGAAAGGGCATTTGAGTACATCAGCGCTTTCAAGATGAATTAAAGAAAAAAATTACCAACATTAAGGAAATAGGTGTTTGCAACATACTCTAATTTTTTATCCCTTTATCTGGACAACCCGATGTCGTAGACCTTGGCTATTTCAAATTATTAATTCTGATAGATTAAAACGTCAAAGGTTTACACCATCAGGTAGCAAGTATTTAGAGATTAGAAAATTTGAATTTAAATCCTGAATCAATGTCGTTATTTTTGTTATTTCTTATAGTTGGATCCTAAACTGTCTCCCCTGTTGAATAAAACTACTGGATGGTATCACAGTTTCTCTAAACTAGTCTGCTCCAAGTACTCTAACTCATACAGACAGTTCTCCTCTGCTGATGGACAGGTGGGAATATCTTCATATTTTTAAGAAATTTATTCTATTTAGTTTTGATTAAGTAGATCAGATAAGAGATGATTTGTATCGATTTTATTTTCACTTTTCTGTCTTTCCTTTTTGTAATGGTGTCCTTTGTTATCATGTCTAAATAAATATAATTTAGATCCAGCATACAGCTATACTGTTAGAGGGATCATTAGGAACATTTCCTCTGGTTTCTGTTGATTTCTCAACAAAAGAGGGATCTCTTGCTATTGTGTACAGGTGAAACTTGATTTTATTCTGAACTTTTTGAAATAAATTTTTTAAACAAAAGAAAGATGTCTTCCAGATTTATTGTTAGGCGGTCTGGGGGTGCAGTGTCGGGTTTCCCTTTAGATCTTGTGATTATTTATTATTTCTTTTCCTCTAGATATGTTGAATAATTTACCTCAATGTAATTTGCATAATGTATCTCTAAGAATATTATTGCAACAAACAGAAATGCACTTATTTAGTTCTCCAGGCGTACTTACAAAAAAACAGGAAGAAAGAATTATTATAATTTTTGTTTATTTTCAGAGAGCCGCAGCACTCGACCCAGTCTAGTTCAATCCCTGTAAACTCCAACCTTATCAAGGACTTTGTAGAGCTCTGCTGTTTTCATCTTTGGACTCAGCTTCTATAGTTCCGTCATCTTTTGCTCCTAAAGATCTGTAAACTTCAAAGTTAGCTTTGACTGCTGATTTCAGCTCTTGAAGTTCATCAAATTTGTAAGCTTTATTTGCTCCGTTATCTCCATAAGCTCCTTAAACTCCGTTAGCTTTATTAGCTTCTTAAGCTCCTAAGACTCCGTTATCTCAATTAGCTTAATCAGTTTTTAAACTCCGTTATCTCTATAAGATCCTTAAACTTCGTTATCTCTATTATCTCCATCAGTTCCTTAAACTCCGTTAATTCTATTAGCTCCGTCAGTTTCTTTAACTCCGTTATCTCGATCAGCTCCTTAAACTCCTCTCCTCCGGTCTTTAAGTTCCTATAAATTTGTTTATGGAGAAGTAGCTGTTTTTCCTTTAGTTTTTGGTATCAAAACTTGGAGCTTATACGAGTTGCATGTGTAAAGTGTGTGCTATGTCTATTGTCTATATCGTACATTAAAATGCTGGATACTTCTATATTTTTGTAATACAGAACTGTGAAGACTGAGAAAAATGTCTCTTCTCCTAGTAACTACTTCCAGGGTTTAACTTCTCTATCTTCCTAATATTTTCTGATAAATATAATATTTCGTGGTTCGATCAATTTTTTTTATTGAGATTTTTTTTTTTTTAGAACATGGGGCATAATTTAATGAAAAATTTAGTTTGTAATAAATAACGTAAATACATAAGATATTATTAAAATATCAAGAATTTGTTAAATCTGTAAATTATCAGTTTTTTGTTTGATTGAACTATCTAGAGTAAAGTTCAAATTCTTGCCAATGGTAACGATTAAATGTTCGAATATTAAAACTCTCCTAGCATCAAAAATATACATTCAATTCATTCTGTTCAAGAAAGTATATATAACTTTTTTACGTTATTTGTTACCAAGAATATTTATATATATATACGTAGACCGGAAGTGGGTCATTTAAATATGGAAATTTTGTGATATGGTTCATATGCTGTGATTCATGCTTGATATACTTTCAGACCGAATCCTGCTCCGTCAAACCATATCCAAAATGTCTAAGTACACCATTGTAATGATCAGGCACGGAGAGAGCGAGTGGAACATGGTGAGTGACAAAAATGTCGAAACCACCATAGCCTTGTGAATTTTAAAATTTGGGCCCGATCGGTTCAGCCGTTTTGACGTTTATTGGATACAAACAAACAGACAAGCCAAATTTATTTAAATACATTTCCAGTCAGCTAGTCTTCAAGTTTTAAGATTGTATTGTATTGTAGGAGAACCGGTTCTGTGGTTGGTTTGATGCTAACCTGAGTGAGCAGGGTAAGAAGGAGGCGGTATCAGGAGGTAAAGCTCTCAAGGAGGCAGGATTCTCATTTGATGTAGCGCACACCTCCCTACTTACCAGGGCCCAGGTCACCCTGCAAACTGTTCTCGAGGAGATCGGCCAACCTGATCTCAAGGTTGAGAAAACATGGAGGCTTAACGAGAGGTAGGATTTTTATATTTTTAATGAAAAATTATGATTATGATAAAAATATAATATATATGGGAATTTATGTTAACAAGTATTTAAATTGGTGAATTTGATGGCTTGAGAAATTAATATATACTATTCCAGACACTACGGTGGATTGACAGGTCTGAACAAGGCCGAGACTGCTGCTAAACACGGAGAAGAGCAGGTTAATAATTCCTACACCTTGATATTTTAAATGAATATTTCATTAGAAGCAAATGTGCTTAGAATTGTGATCAGGGGTTGTATGTGTTGATCTTGTGTTGTACGTTGTAATCAAATTTTAAAATTACCTTCACAGCAAATTAGTTTGGATTTTTAACAGATTAATTTATTATGAGCAATTAAACCTTACCACAGATTTTAATTAGTATAGTCACGTATTAGTATAGTCATGGAATGGTAGGCCTCCGATTATAGAATACATTAAAGTTAAGATATGAGCAAGCTGTGTTAAATAGAATATATATATTGGAGAAAAGGACGAGTTTAGAATATATATATATAGGTTAAGATCTGGAGAAGAAGTTTTGATGTTCCTCCTCCCCCCATGGAACCTGGACATGCTTTCTACGAAGCCATCAGGAACGATCCAAGATACAAGGATGGACCAACTGATGAGGAGTTCCCAACCTGTGAGTCTCTCAAACTCACCATACGTAAGTAATTCAACATTCTCAGGAGAAGTAATCAGATGCACTTTGAGATTGCTTCTGTATTTTTGAGGGCCTTACTCACCCCCCCCCCCCCCCCCCCCCCCCCCCCCCCTCCATATCTTAAGATTAAACCTAGTAAGTTAGTTTTAAGCAATTTTAGTATTTGTTCAATATCTGCAGTAATAATTGAAATGAAAGACTTGAAGTATTACGAAATATCTTTTTTTATTGTACAGAGAGAACTCTGCCCTACTGGAACGATGTAATTGTTCCTGAGATGAAAGCTGGGAAGAAAATCCTGATTGCTGCGCACGGGAACTCTCTCCGGGGTATCGTGAAGCACCTGGACCAGATGTCTGATGAGGACATCATGGGATGCAATCTTCCCACCGGGATACCATTCGTTTACGAACTGGACGAGAACTTCAAGGTTGGTATTTGTTTATATGAAACCTAATTTATATATAAAAATCATCTTTGTCCTAAAGCCTAAATATATATAGATTTTTCCTCAAATACCCAAAAAAA